ATTACCATGGTAAATGTTTGTGAAACATGGTATTAACATGGCAAATGTTTGTGAAACATGGTATTACCATGGTAAATGTTTGTGAAACATGGTATTAACATGGTAAATGTTTGTGAAACATGGTATTAACATGGCAAATGTTTGTGAAACATGGTATTAACATGGCAAATGTTTGTGAAACATGGTATTACCATGGTAAATATTTGAATAATGTGGTATTTCAAGTGTATGTCCAAAAACATTGTAATACTATTGTGCATGTCCAAAAACATGGCATTAGCATGGAAAACGTTTAAAAACAATGTATTTCTATGGTAAATATTTTTAAAAACATGGAATTTCAATGATATATGTCCAAAAAGCATTGTAATACTATTGTGCATGTCTAAATACATGGTATTTGCATGGAACATTTTCAAAAACATGGTATTTCCATGGTAAATATTTGTAAAACATTATATTTCAATGGTATATGTCCAAAAACATGGTATTGACATGAGAAATCTTCAAAAAACATGTTACCATGGGACATGTTCAAAAACATGGTAATACCAGAGTAAATGTTTAAAACGGTGGTATTATTGTGGTAAATATAAAAAATTGCATTTATTAAGAAAACTTGATATTACCATGGTAAATATTTGAAAAACATGGTATTGACATGAAATCTTTAAAAAAAAACATGTTACCATGGGACATGTTCAAAAACATGGTAATACCTGAGTAAATGTTCAAAACTGTGGTATTATCATGGTAAATATTAAAAAAACATGGAATTTCAGTGGTATATGTCTAAAAACATGGTATTGACATGGGAAATCTTAAAAAAAACATCTTACCATGGTACATGTTCAAAAACATGGTAATACCAGAGTAAATGTTCAAAACTGTGGTATTATCATGGTAAATATAAAAAAATTCCATCAAATTAAAAAAACATGCTATTACCATGGTAAATGTTTGAAATGGTGTTCACATGGTGTATGTTCAAAAGACACTGTAATGCTGTGGTGCATGTCCATAACAGCACGGTAAATGTAAAAACATGGTATAACCATGAGAAACCATGGGAAAAGACGTGACCATGCAGCATGTCCAAAAACATTGTAATACCATGGTAGATGTTAAAAATAGCATGTTTCCAAAAAGCGTGGTGTGATGTGTGTGTCATTTGTGCTGCTGATGTGACTTAGTTTCCCTTCGTTAGGTCACCCAGCAGTACTGCATTAAAATTACAGCCATGATGAATAAATGAAGACCTGAGACACTAATCAGAGAGTGTGTGTGTGTGTGTGTGTGTGTGTGTGTGTGAGAGAGAGCTCACTGTGGCTCTGTGTGTAATACTGTAAGACCTACACCGGTTGCTGCGTTACATACTAACACAGCCGTGAGCGTCTGAGGCGCTGGACTGCATCGGATGCTTCCCGTATTATCGATTAGCTCGATGCCCTTGGTGAACGACTCCCAGCGGCTGGCCGCCTTCCACAACCGCGGGGTGTTTGAAACCCACTTAATGCACCAATAAATCTTCCTTCTAATCAAAGCGGCTTTATTGGCGCGGGGGAAGGTGATAAGTCGCGCTCTGGACATGCGCTCTAACGACGGGCCGTAACGAATGGAATACAGATTCAATCTCACGCACGCCATGTGGGTCAAGCGTTCGTTTGGTTTACAGATTTGCGTTGATTGGACGTGCTAATGAGGATGAAAGCTCATTTACAGGATAATGGTGTTATTATCCCTAACACCCAGACCAAAGAACCTGGGTGGCGGCAATCCGCTCTTTCTGACATTTGTGTGACAAAATTGGCCTTGTTCTGCGTTTCCCGTCGTCTGTAATCCACAAAGCGACGTGCATAAGCAGATTAACGAGTTTGTACCTGTTCAAGGCCTGTAAACACTTCTGACGGCATAAAAGCTGCGTTAAGGAGATTACACTCAATCTTCCTTCTAATCAAAGCGGCTTTATTGGCGCGGGGGAAGGTGATAAGTCGCGCTCTGGACATGCGCTCTAACGACGGGCCGTAACGAATGGAATACAGATTCAATCTCACGCACGCCATGTGGGTCAAGCGTTCGTTTGGTTTACAGATTTGCGTTGATTGGACGTGCTAATGAGGATGAAAGCTCATTTACAGGATGATGGTGTTATTATCCCTAACACCCAGACCAAAGAACCTGGGTGGCGGCAATCCGCTCTTTCTGACATTTGTGTGACAAAATTGGCCTTGTTCTGCGTTTCCCGTCGTCTGTAATCCACAAAGCGACGTGCATAAGCAGATTAACGAGTTTGTACCTGTTCAAGGCCTGTAAACACTTCTGACGGCATAAAAGCTGCGTTAAGGAGATTACACTCCCTCGCTGTCACAATGTGTGAACGCTTGGCTGTGTTTTTATTTGCGTTGGATCGCTTTCTGGAAGCCAGTCGTTCCCTGAATGTATTATAAAGGCCTCTGAAGTGTTGCTGATGATGTTAGCGAGTCCTGATTGAAGATGTCAGGTCAGATAAAAGCTTCTGGAGAAGATGCAGCTGAAGAAGTTACACCTCATGATCAGCTGTGACACAAAACATCAGACTGACCAGATCAGTGTCTCTTAACAGAAAAAACATGGTTTTACCATGGTAACTGTCCAACAAACATGCTAATTCAATGGTACATGCCCAAAATAAAAGTGAGGTAGTACTGGTGCATGTCCAAAAACATGGTAAATTATCAAAAAATGTGAAATTACCGTGGTAAATGTTGAAAAATATGGTAATTCCATGGTTAAAAAACATGGTATTTCAAAGATACATGTCCAAAATGCATGGTAAAACCATGGTAAATGTTAAAAAAATGTGGTATTACCATGGTAAATGTAAAAAAAAACATGGTATTTCAAAGATACATGTCCAAAATGCATGGTAAAACCATGGTAAATGTTAAAAAAATGTGGTATTACCATGGTAAATGTAAAAAAAAACATGGTATTTCAAAGATACATGTCCAAAATGCATGGTAAAACCATGGTAAATGTTAAAAAAATGTGGTATTACCATGGTAAATGTAAAAAAAAACATGGTATTTCAAAGATACATGTCCAAAATGCATGGTAAAACCATGGTAAATGTTAAAAAAAACATGGTAAATCAGTGGTACAAGTACAAAAACATAGTATTAAAATAGAAAATGTTTAAAAATATGGTATTACCATGGTAATTGTTCAAAACAAACTTGATATTACCACAGGACATATTCCCAAAACATGGCAATACAATGATACGTGTTAAAAAAATGGTCTAAAAACATGGTATTAACATGAGAAATGTTCAAAATCATGTTATTACCATGGTAAATGTAAAAAACAAACAAACATGGTAATACTGTGGTGCATGTTCAAACAATGTGGTATCCTAAAGGGTTTATTAAAAAAAAAAAATCATGCTAATAAAATTTTACATGTCCAAAAACATTGTATAAACATGAGAAATATTCAACAATCATTACTGTGGTAAATGTTCGAAAAACATATTTTTACCATTTGGAAATGTCTTAAAACATGGTAATAATATGGTACATGTTCAAAAAACATGCTATTTTAATGCTTCATGTCCAAAAAAACATGGTATTACAATGGGCAGTTATAAGACAAACATGGTGTTACCATGTGATATGTCCAAAAGCATGATCATTTAATGGTACATGTCCAAAAACACAGTTTTAACATGGGAAAACATGGTATTTCAGTGGTACTCATCTCTTTGGCTTGCTGGAGCTGATCGGCGGTGATCTGTCTCTACAGGCCTCACATGGTGACGGAGTACATGGGCATCAGGAACGAGAGCTTCATGAAGATGGCTGCAGTAGGAACGTGGATGGGAGACTTTGTGACGGCGTGGATGGTGAGACTCAAACCACAACCTGTTTAAAGTCGTTCAGCATTCATTTGATCCGTCAGGACTGGATTGTAGAGCGAAAAGTGGATTGATGAAAGAGTTACGAAGACTTCAGAGCAGGGTTCCCAGAGTTTGGGAAAAGCTTATTCATTCAATTTAAAAAAATGTCAAATTAAATATTTAAAACAAAACAAAAAAAGTAAAAAAACACTTATTTTAAGAGATGAAATATTGTCATTATTTTATACATTAAATAAACTGGTATTTTATGTTTACCTGGTATAATTAGTTCTTTTATGCATTTTAAAGGGAATCACTCATCTAGAATCCCGTTCACTGATGAATGCTTCCCAAATAACACCAAGAGCTTATATTAAAGTAAATGTGCTGGATTTTGATTTATGTTGACTTGGGCAACTTTTAAGCAGCATGAAATGGTTTCATGAGAAATGTTGACCTTGACGAACCTTCCCCGCGTCTGACGAGCCACTCAAATGTTTCTGTAATTATTTGTTGGTAATTGACTCTGGTTCCCAGAGGCGGCGGCCGCTCGCAGAGAGAATGTGACATTAGAGAGCGCCTGAACCAACAAAGCCCCCAGATACCAGCGCAGAAATAATAACACTATATTCCTTACAGGTGCAACTGTTTTACACCCAGTGAAATTAATAATACTTGAAAAATATGATTAAAATGATGTTCAGTCACACTGGAAGCGATTAATGTCGCACTGCGTCACGATGCAGCAGCTTCAGCCTGTTTGTGCTTTATTCTAAAATACACAAATCATTTTACATGTAAATTAAAATGATCATATTTTGCAAATTATTTGTTTATAATGAATTTTGAATGATGCCCTTATATATATATATATATGATATTCTTTTTAGTAATTTACAAAGACAGACATTTAGACCAGGGTTTCCTGAGTTTGTGAAAAGCTAATAACTGATTAAATCATAAAAACATTTATTTTTTTAAATATAATAAAAAAAAATAAAAAGTCAAAATAATAATTTACTAAAAAAGGTTAAAAATAAAAGTTTAAATATTTGCATTATAGTGACTTTACCCTGTTTTTTATAGTGGTAAAATAAAACAAATTTAAAAAATCTAAAATACCACACAAGTAATTTTTAAAGTAGAATATTTAAAATAAAAAGTCAAAATAAAACACTTAAATATAACTTAAACACTTAACACTTAAATGAAAATATTTGCATTATAATGACATTACCATGTTGTTTAATTGTAGTAAAATCCGATCTTATTTTCTAAAATATCACAATCACAAGTAATTTTTTGTTTACCTATTATAATATAATAATTATTATTTTATACATTCTACAAATGTGTTTGTGTGTGTGTGTGTGTATATATATATATATATATAATTTTAATGTATTTATATTTTAATTATAATACGATAATTAAAAATAAACAAATATTGTTTAAAAATGTTTTTCTTAGTTGTAATATACATTTTATAAATGTTTCTATGTACTGTATATATACATTTTTATAAATATTCATATATATAAATATATTATAAATATTAATCTTAAATAGCTTCTTTTGATCCCATGTTGGTTTTTAATGCTTCATTAAAAGTGGAATTATTTAAAGATGTCTTCACAAGAGCGGCGGTCAAACTGACAGGTGCCACTCAAACTGATTGACACACTGTGTTTACTTCAGCGTATCCTCACTGTCTGTTTCTGAACAGCGTTATAGATGTTGACAGTCGTGTGGATACAGCGCTCATCGACTCTGAAAAGAGGTTTTCCCAAGTTCACTGAAGGACACACAGCAAACAAACATCTGACATCAAAGTGTGCTTCTCGCTGACACGCCAGCACAGGTGTACTTCAGATCAGCGTTTGTGTGTGTGTGTGTCTCTGTGTGTGTGTGTGTGTGTCTCTGTGTGTGTGTGTGTGTGTGTGTGTGTGTGTGTAAGAATTAGGCGTGGACACTTATTTTTGCGCCTGACTTTATTTGCATTTGTAGGAGTGTAATGTATGGGAGGAGAGTATTAAAATAAATCACGCAATGGGATTTACTAACAATCGTGCTCGTCAAATTATAGTATTTGCGCTATTATTTAACACCCAGAAAAGCACGTCTTAAACTATTTTGCACCTGTGTCGTAAGTCGCATCGGCTCTGCTTCTTGCGTTGGTCGATATGCAAATGAGATGTTAATTGCGTCTGTGTTCTTTAAATTCGTTAAGTTAAATCTGGCCCTTAGTGGGAAATGGCTATTGCAATTTTTAGTATGCAATTATTATTATTTTTTAAATGTATATTAAATATAGCTTAATATTTAATATGCAATTTATAATAATTAGATTTAATTTACAAGATGTAGTTTTGGTTGTAAGCAAAAATGTATTTTCTTAAGAAAAACGTGCACCGATGAATCATACACAGTAACGACATTATAAAGAAATAATTTAAATGATTAAATAAAGTTTAAAAATAAGCAAATATACTATCATAAATAAGTTTAATTAAAAAATATAAAAAAATGACACAAACACATTACAATGCCATTTTTGCAGTTTTAGTAGTCACATAAAATTAAATAATAATTATTTTATTTTTTATTATAATAATTATTTATATGCAGTTATTTTAAATATATATTTTAATATTGAATCATTTTAGTTTTTAATTATTTGTTAATAAGTTTAACAGTAATTAATAATATATTTTCATGTATTATTTATTAATATTTTGTCTTTATAATTACTGCAATTCCTTGTGAATTTTAATAATTCGAATTATTTTAATATGCAGTTTGTTAATTATTTACAGTATTATTTACAGTGTTTAATTTGAACTGTGAACAAAAACATTTGTTTCCTTTCGAAACACGTGCACCGATGAATCTTTGACAATAAGCACATGATTCAGTTTTATGATAAATAAAGAAATAATATGATTAAAGCAAGTTCAGTGCAGGTTTATGCACCCAAGACAGCAGCCCTGCTCATAAAAGGAGGATTTGATGAATAGTGTGTGCTTGTGAAGCCTCTGGTCAGTGTGAAGATGATTCTCTTACGTTAGGAAGGAGATCTGAGTGTGTGTTTGCTGTCATTATGAGTTAAATATCCTTAATCTGTGTGTGAGTTAATAATGTTATTTTAATGCTTGTTTCCATTATCAGCACGCAGCAGAAAATCGATCAGCGCCGCTGTGTTTGTACGTGACCGAACACGCACTTTGACCCTGAAAACCCACTGGACAACACGACCTCTGACCCCGATGCACATCACAGCCTTTACTAAAGCTTACTGCGTTCATTCTCACTATATCTGCATTTCTTCCGTATTATAATATATATAAATCCATAAAACAAGATGAATGTACTTTAGAAGAGATGTTAAGAGCTAAAACAGAGACAAAAATACTCACTCAAAAAAAGTAGTTTGCATTCATATTATATTAATATAGTATATTTGTTTTATTATTAATGTAATGTTTAATTTGCCATACATTTTTGTGGTAAATGATATTGCAATTTGTAATATGCATTATTTCAAAAATGCATATTAACTATTTTAATATGCATTTTTAATAATTAATATGATTTAAGTTACAAGTTGTAAAAATGTAAATTAATTTTATTTAGAGAAACATTGCACTGATGAATCATTCACAAGGGCAGCATTATGAAATGAGTAATATTATTAAAGAAAGTTTTAAAATAAACGGATTGGAGAATTATTGTGAAGAATAAACGAATTAAAAACACGTGGAAAAATCTCCCAGCGCAGTAAGACATTAAAATTTTATTTTTACATATTGTATTAATATCATATCTTTAATTAGTCAAAATCTAAATTAAATTTAGTGGAAGATGACTGTCGCAATTTTTAATATGAAATCATTTTAAAAAATGCATATTTTATAACAGTTTGATTGTTGATTGCCATTTTAACTGGAAACAAATTAATTGTATTTAAAAAAAAAAAAAAAAAAAAAAGACAAAAAAAAGACTCTTAATAAAAAAATAATAAAATCTGCAAGTCAAGACATAAACAAACAATAATTCAAAACTCCGTCGTAAGTCGCATCGGCTCTGCTTCTTGCGTTGGTCGATATGCAAATGAGATGTTAATTGCGTCTGTGTTCTAAAAACAAGTACAAAAAAAAGACTCTTAATAAAAAAATAATAAAAATAATAAACAAACAATAATTCAAAACTCATTAAAGTGTAATAATATACATTATGAATATAATGTTAGTTACTTTTAAATGTATTAAAGTTTATTTTATTATTAATACAATTTTAATATTACCGTGATATATAAATATAATACATAAATGTTATATTATATTATATTATAATGTTTAATTTGTCAAAATCAAAACTCAATTCAGTGGTAAATGGCAGTTGCAATTTTTTTATATGAAATAGTTTTCAAAAATGGATATTAAATGTGTTTTAATAATTATTATGCAATTTCTAATATTTCACGCGACTTCATTTGATTTAGTTAATTTACAGTATGTGATGTAAATGTAACTGTAAACAAAAATGTATTTCTTTAGAAGAGCATCCACTGATGAATGATGATTACGAAATAACTCTATTTATTTAAAAAAGAAAACAAACTTTTATATTTAATGCGAGTGTATTTAGTTTCACTGCTCCGACAGATTAGCAGTATAGAAGCGTTAGAAACCGTGCCGTAAACACGAATTAAAAGCTTACTTGATGTTTTTCTCGCTCGTGCAGCGTTGCAGTTTTAAGCTGCGTGTGAAGAAGCACTGACTCCGGATCAGCTCTGACTCTTCGGTGTCTGAAGAACGAGCTCACAGTGACGTGAAGAGCTGATCTGGGGTCTGTATTATTCAGTGAATCCTTCAGAAGTCCTTTATGAATGCACGCTCTGCCAGCGGCTCCAGAGATCGTGCGCTGATGAAGGACAGACGACTGACACTGCCAGTCAAAGTCTGCAGCAATCACCGCTGTTAATGCTTTTGAAAGAAGTCTCTTCTGCTCAGGAAGGATGCATTTATTTGATCAGAAATACAGTAAAAGCAGTATAACTGTGAAATATTATCACAATTTAAAATAACTGTTTTTCGTATTTGAATATGTTTTCAAATGTAATTTATTCCTGTTCTTATTTTTTTGTTTTGCTTGTAAATCATTTGAATTCATGCATTTTTTGCTTTGGATTTTTATTTTATTTTATTGACTTTTTAACAGTCACGTCATTTTATTTATTAGATTTACTTAAATGCATTTTATTTATTCATAATTTTTTTCCCCAGAGATGTTGACTTTCTTTCTTTCTTTCTTTTTCTTCTTGAATTTTTCAACAACATATTTTATTTTCACCGCTACTTCTTTGTTTAATATATTATTTTTTTATTATTATTTTTTTTCAGCTGTCACGTCTAACATTGGATTCTTTTTTTTATTTTTAATTATTTTTAATTAAGGCAGTTTTGTTGTATTTTATTTAATACATACATTTTATTTATTTAATTTTATTAATTGAATTTAAATTTCAGACGTCTCACTCAAATCAATTTATTGATTAGTTTATCTTTTTATTTTTTATTATTTTCTGGAGGTATTGATCTTGCCTTTTTCAGTGCTTTTTATTTTTATTTTATTTTATTTTACATTTTATTTACTTGACTTCTCGAGAAGCTGTCACAACTCACATTTTATTTATTAATTTTTTTTTTTATTATTATTATTATTTTTATTTTTTTTTACTTTTCAACCATCCCATCTCACATCATTGTATTTATTTATTAGTTTAATAAATACTTAATTATTTACAAGTTTGTTTTAACTTTTTTTATATATATATTTATTTAAAAAAAAACAGTTAAAAACAGTTGTGCTGTTTCATATTTTTGTGGAGATCATGATAGACTACCATTCAAAAGTTTGGTGTAAGTAAGATTTTATGCTTGTATTCATCAAGAACACATTAAATTGATGAGAAGTGACAGAAAAATCATGTGTAGTGTTACAAAAGATTTAAATTTCAAATAAATGCTGTTCTTTTGAACTTTCTATTCATCTGTGAATCCTGAAAAATAAAATACATCACGCTTTCCACAAAAATATTGTGCAGCACGACTGTTTTCAACACTGATAATAATCAGAAATGTTTCTCGAGCAGCAGATCAGCATATTATACTGATTTCTGAAGATCATGTGACACTGAAGACTGGAGGAATGATGCTGAAAATACAGCTGCGCATCACAGAAATACATGACAGTTTAACAGAGATTCACTTAGAAAAGAGTTACTTTAAATTGTAATAATATTTTAAAATTTTTACTGTATTTTTGCTCAATTAAATGCAGCACTTTTGAGCAGAAGAGACTCTCAGACTCGTTGATCAGGTCTCTCTGAGCTGGTAGTGAGTGAGTGCTGCTGTGTGTGTTTGTCAGGACGGTGCTGTTCTCTCTGACCTCTGTGGTGGTTCTGGTCATCAGTACGGACTGGATCAGGTGGGATAACCTGAACCGCGGCTTCTTGCCGAGCGACGAGGTCTCCAGAGCATTCCTGGCCTCCTTCATCCTGGTCTTTGACCTCCTCATCATCATGCAGGTACAAACACGAGCTCGCCTGACGCTCCTTCATTGACTGCGTGTGTGTGTCTGTGTGTGTGAGTGAGTGTGTCTGTCTGTCTGTGTGTGTGTGTCTGTGTGTGTGTGTGTGTGTGTGTGTGTGTCTGTGTGTGTGAGTGAGTGAGTGAGTGAGTGAGTGAGTGAGTGAGTGTGTCTGTGTGTGAGTGTGTGTCTGTGTGTGTGTGTGTGAGTGAGTGAGTGTGTGTAAGCTCTTGACTGATTCTTGTTTAATGTCCTCCACATCGCCGCAGGCAGCAAATCACAATGGAGTGTGTCACTGTCTCATGAATATGCTAATACGAGCTCAACAGCTCTCACTGTTCGTCCTGTAATAACCTCACTCACACTAACACACACGCGCACACACACACACACACACACACACACACAAACACACACACACACTCACACA